GTGTGTGTGTGTGTGTGTGTGTGTGTGTGTGCTTGTGTTTGTGTGTATGTGTGTGTATGCGTCTGTCGGGGTACTTCAGCTCAACAACCAAGTAAGCTCCGACGCTAAAATTTTGCCATTGGGTTCTCCGGCCAAGTGCCATCCCAGGACCGCGGTACCAACCTTCTTGTACGTCAGGGTCCCGCATACAAGCGTATGAAAGTTTTGGCCGAAAAATCGCCAACTCGGGGACCAGAAAAGCTGGAAGGCTGAAATCTTAACAGAAAGCATTCTGTTCAAGTATCACGTTGTTGCACAATTAACTTTCTGAACTTCGAGCACGAGTATGTCACAAATTCTAGCAACTGGTATTCCAAACGATTTTACTACAGCGCATGATCGCACGGGCCCGTCTGTTGCGCGTTGCCAGTGATTTTCTCTTCTCATTCGCTTTCTTCTTACTCCAGTCTTATGCAAATCTGACACATGCTCATCATATACATGGCGGACAGAAGGTTGTACCGACGATTCTCACTCTTACGCACATACTACGTTGCATCTGTGTTTACAGCTAAGAGATGTATGTAAAAACAGGTTTTGCGTCCCCTCTCCTCATGCACACACAATTTGGAGCTAGCAGTTTTTGAACGATACCATAACATAATGAAAACAAAAATGTTAATAGCTAATTCAAATTTGATGCATATTTCTATCCGTTTAGCTAGAAACATTCTACTCAAAAGACAGTATTGTTTGGCGACAAACCTCTACAGTGAGAACTGTGCAAAAAAAAAAATTGCACGTTCGCACCGGCAAGCCTAATGCTTGCTACCACTGGTCTATTAATTTTGATCCATTTTTTCGTGGGTATTTATTGCAAGATCTGTTTACCATTATGTCTGGAATACGTTGATGAAAATAATTCAAACTTCACAATGCGCAGTCTGATGGTTTAGTGATCTGTGACGCTTGCCCCTCATTATTGCTGGAGCAGAGTGCTTCCTTTTTGAAGCCCATTATTAGAATTTCCAGCCAATAAAAATTTATTGATTTGTTCCGTGGAAGACTGTTGTGGAAATACTCAAGTACCCAAAGCTTCATCTGCATGTAGTAACTCTTCGGAAGTGAGTATCGAAAAAAAAAAAAAACAATAACTTTGAAGGCGTTAAGTTTGAATAAAGTTCTAATACAGAGGGAGCAATCTCAGACTCAAGTTTTACAAAGCCTGAACCTCGGTATCTAGATCACGACCAAAAAAGTGCAGCCGATCGATATAGTAAGCGCCAACGACATCGATACACGTTGTGGTTAATATCAAACCAATCAACAGCGTGAGTAATGTGAGCAATATGTACGGCTGATTCTGAGGCACGAAATCTGAAAACAAGTCGTCCGACACTAATTCGCCAACAAACATGAAGTCTTAAACCAGTACAGATTTATCTGTTTATTGAGTCATCATAACTGCCAAATTCGGACTGATTTTAAGACTTATGAGAGATGCAAGTCCCATTTTCCAAATAATTTAAATTAAAATGATCATATGCATCGTTAGACCAAATGCAGGTTACTGCGCAATACATTCACTTTATGCGTTTTTGCCGGCTGTAGCAGCGCTATAGCGCTCTCAGCAAAAGCGCATATTGTCGGGGGGTTATCTGTGTGTGTGTGTGTGTGTGTTCAGAAGCGAATGAATTTTGTCACCCACTTTCATTCGGCAACGAGGAAAGCTGGAAGGCTAAAATTCTGGGCATATTTTCCTACCCCATGTGTCACCCACCCGTTTTAAGATCTTCCCTCATACGCGCCTAAACTCCGCGTATGGACCTCTGAAAGAAACATGCGAATTTCTTTGCGGGAAAAGATTTTGCAAACCAGGCAAGGTACAAAGCTGAAACTTTGGAGGGATATTCTATGTGTATACGCGAGCTAAAGAATTCAAATTCAGCTGTCGCGCAGCTTGTGCAATGCGTATGACCACGTCAAAGTTTGCAACTTGGTACTCTGCTAACTCAAAAACTTGCCAGAAAACAGTAACTGAAAATTTGTCAGCATTTTTAGCTCATATGGGAAATAGTATATCTAAAATGAGCATCGATTTGTACTTGCGCCACAACTTTAGGGCATTTCAATGATATTTGTAGCGAAGTGGATATTTCGCTTGCCGGATAAGGTGCAGGGCTGAAACTTCGTTGAGATATTCTACTTTCAAGTGCGATCTTAATTCTGCTTGAAGGTAAAATTCCCTGCAAGTGGGCGTGAGAAATACTCAAGTTTATCGAAATATCATGAACGAGTGCGTTTTGCAGCGAACGGCCGCCCTCATCCAAATATACAAATGAACATTCAGTTCATTTGCATACTTGGATTTTTTGACAAACTACCGCTTTAGCAACATTTTCGCTTTTTATTGAACTGGAAGTTTGCATTTTTATACGTTTTTGCACATATGCAAATTGCAAAAGCGCATACTGGGAGGAGGCTGTCTCTGCGTGTGTGTCTGTGTGTTCGCACTTTTTGCCACCCACTTTCAACTCGAGAACCAGAAAAGCAACAAGACTGAAGCTTTGGGAGTACGTGCTCATATCGTAAACGACTCTCCCATCTTAACATCATACCGCGTGGGCGCCTGAGTGCCGCGTACGGAAGCACTAAAAAATATGCAAATTTTTTGGTGGGAAAGCGACCTCGAGAATCAGACAAGGTACGAGGCTGAAACTTTGTAGCTATGTTCCCTGTGCATGTGTTAGCTAAAGATTTCAAATCCAGCCCCCCCCCCCCCCCCCCCCCCCCCCCCCCCC